ACCAACAACGACAACGGAGTCGACTTCGTCAGCGTGCCAAAGTTTCTCCTTCTCGAATTGACTCTCTCCCTAAGCTTATTCCTCTGCTCCCTCAACCTCAAGATCTCCTCTGCGTCTCCCATCATCCCCTCCATCTACTCCCCCTCCCTTCTACTCCTCCTCCCCCTCCACCTCTCTCTCTTTTGTCCTCCTCCTCCTCCTCCTCCTCCTCCTCTCTTCTTTTGTCCACCTCCTCCTCCTCTCTTCTTTTTTCCACCTCCTCCTCCTACTACTCCTCCGTCGCCGTCCTCCACCTCGTTAACTGTCTCCTTTCTTTTTCTCCTCCCCCTCCTTCACTGTCTCTTTCTTCTTCTCCTCCCCCTCCTCCTCCTCTCTTTTCTCGTTCCTCCTCCTCCTCTTCCCCCTCCTCCTCCGCCCACACTCTTCCTCAGTCCACCACTACTCTTTCTCCCTTCAGCGGATCACAACCCGATTCCCTCCCCAGGGCGGCGAATCGCTGAAGTAAGCCGTAACGGGCATAGTTTCGCTTCTGCTTCACCCCTCCACCCCTCCTCCCCCCCCAAAGACCGCCCCCTCAAGACCCCTCAATCTTCAAACCACTTCCAGTGCTCAATCATCAAGATCCTTACCTACGGAACTAAGCAGGTCCACGTGTTCGACGTCCACGTGGCATGTCATGGCGCCAGCTCCCACTTAACGTCAAGCTCAATGCCGCAAGGACCACCTCACAACTGCCACGTGACTGCCACGTGGCATGTCGTGGGGATCTCGTCGAAGATCCTCCCTCACTTTCTCTCCTCTCCATCTTCCTTCTCTCTCAACCTCCGATCCCCACCGACGGACAGCGACGAATGGTCGAAAAAAAGCCAGAGTCCAGAGCTGCGGACAGACTCGATATCCCCTTCTTCGACGACCGTTGCCGCATCAAACACGATGGTGTCGCCATCAACACGGCGGATCCATCCACACATACAATCAAACACTTTCCCGCCATTTTCGCAAACTCGTTCCCGCCATTTTCGCAAAACTCGTTATTCCCGCCAATGTCCCAAACTCGTTCCCGCCGCTATGGTACTCGTTTTTCCCGCCGCTATCGTACTCGTTTTTCCCGCCGCTATCGTACTCGAATTTCCCGCCCCCCTGTCGCGAAATCGTTATTCCCACCGCGCCATTATCCTGAACTGATTATTCCCGCCACCGCCAATGTCACGAAATTGTCCTTCCCGCCGCGAATTCATGATTCCCGCCGCGATAGCTGCGACCTCATTCCCGCCGTTGCCACGAAAGACTCCTTTGCGGGAGCAACGTCCCACTTGCACGGATTATGAGAATCTGGCCGTTGATTGTTTTATTTATTTTTTTTTCTAAGCCATTGATCTTTGCTATCTACGGTCAATATCGCATAATTGGTGGAAATGAGACCTAGCCCCGGGGTTGTCGCAGATTCGTCACATCGCGAGAGGTCAGGCGATCGAAGCGCGCAAACTCACTTTTCCCGCGAATATCGCGAACTTTCAGCGTAAGATTCAGACGCAGAATTCCCGCGAACTTCAAGACGCGAGAACTCGCCTCCTGATGCAGCTGGGTACAACTTCAGAATGCACGCCTTCGCTGCCATAGATCCGGACTCACACTTGAATTCTCTTGACCGTACCTGAGCGCAATACAGGCCAGATTCCGTTGAATACTTCCGTGTGGATATACCCGCAATCTCGTGCACGCACGCCCGAGGCCTAAAGCCTCACCCCAGATGCATAAGTGGGCCCAACAGCACTACTTTCAGTCTTTGCAGATTGATCGGATGGTCAAGACCCAATGATGAAATTCAATTGTTTTTTCTATGGGAAATTTGCTTTAGAAAATCCAGTGGCACGCAAGTGGCATCAGGAACTCTTGGGTTCAATACGGGTAGCCCTCATGTACCTTCCTGGGCCTGCCACCTAGAGATAGTCTATTGGAGCCCCTTCGCGGCATTGAGCAAAGGCTGCTGATGTTTGTAGTGGGAGGGGACCCGATGGGAGGCGCACGGATTGGTCCAGTTGGCATGGTCCTTGACGCCACCAGCTGACCCCTGGCCGGTATCGCTAATCTGCATGTCGGATGCAGCTCCTGTATCTTCCCTCTTCACAGGCTTGACCTCGGGCTGGCTGTTACGGTGTCAAACGCATCGGTCCCGCATGGGGACCCTCCCGACCGCGTCACGCAGGATTTCGCAGGACTTTTTATCATAGTGGAGTTTTCGTCGCTCCGACCGAGTGCGCCAGACGCACCGGTCGCGAACCCCTACGATAGGATAGGGGTCACGGGAGGCACAACTTACCTTTGCCCAAACGGTTGTCACCACCCTTGGACAGGTGTATCCCCGTCGAGCTACCGAACCACATCCTGAGAGCTACTTAAATGCAATCGCAAAGGTGGTCCAACCGAGGGCATTTCTCGTACGCTGTAGCATAGCAAATACGCACGGTGGAATGCCCTCATCGGCCCCGTGCACAAACCGCGGCTTTGGGGGCTGATGTCCCAAGCAAGGTTCAGCACCGGTCAACGAGGACAGTCCATCCAACCACGTGATACACCTCGCCAAAATAAAACTAGGTTTCACACGTAAATCGTGCCTAATCCATTTTTCATTCGACCCATAACCTTTTAATGACAATATACCTAAATAACACTCGCGAGACTTTGAATAAATTTCGCCTCGACGTAGGCTTTGTCATATAAACTAGTCATGCATGCTTACACAACCAGTCACAAGGATGGCGTACTATGTCGTATCCGTAATCATGTGGCCCTTAATGATCTTAGGGGTCGTTTTCGACACTCAAGTGTCGATTGACATGTGTCTTAGAGGGCTAACCTCTTGACGCTGGACAATCACAAAAGTGATTGCGAGTTTTGCCCTCTTTTACACCCTGCGCAGACGAGAGGTACGCGGGTCGTGACCTTTTCTGGCGGTTAAACACCCCCCCCCTTGGAAATAAGGCTCCATCATTCGAGGTTTGGAAACAGGTTAAGGGTTTTAACTTTGACAGTCGCTACAGACCTTAACGTCCAACTGTACAAGTTATAAGAAAAAATATATAAAAATTATCTTCCTTTTTTTTTAATACAGGTCTATTCGATCGTTACACATGGTCATGGTAGACCGTGTGAGTGCATAAAATATAAATACAGTAGGTTTATAGGACACGAGGCTATCACTTTTCACAATCACGATGTACTCCGTTAAAAATATATGTATGATCGCCGATAAAGTCAAATAAGGACTTCAACTTCTAAAACATATCTGCAATCACATCAAGGATTCAACATCGGCAAACTACGCACTAGTACACGGGGTCAACTTCAACCACTCTTCGCACTTACATCCCTTACCTTATCCATACAAGTCGCAACCTTTGTCTAACCTTTTAAAACAAAATACTCTTTTTTTTTTTAATAATCATTTAACTCAAGGTAAAAACTAAAAAAAATATTCAACCCACAAGGGCTAAGGCCTTAGGTTGAGTAGTGAGAATGAGTTAGAGTTGAACCGAAAAATGACATATTATCAAAAGATAACTGCCCCTCGTAGGATCGGGCCGAAACTAGTCAGATTTTGAATCGAAATGATTAAAAAAAAATTATAACATATTACATTCAAATTCCTCAAAACTAAACTTTTAAGTGCATAGAAAATGAACCTCTATATTACATCTTACTTAAATTCTCATAAAATTAAATTTAAACCTGATTTTCAAAGAGTGCTAAAATAATAAGGAAAATTTCGACAACTTCTCCTTTATATAAGGAAGATCGTCAAGACTTTTCTTATCAAAATATAATATAACTCCTTAAAATAAATAAAATTATCACAGCACTTCCTATAAAGAACGTATCTTCTCAAGACTTATACTCAATTAAATATGATATATGAAAACGATCCTTGTTTTTTCAGAGGCAAATTTTGTCGAACTCTCTAAATTAGTAAAAAATTTTGGCGGCATCTCCTTTAGAGAAGTAGGTTTCTCATATTTATACTAAATCATATATGAACTCAAGATAAAACTTGAGTCATGCCAAGATAAAATTTAACTAATTATTTATATTTATAGATATTTCAGCAATATTTTTTCTATAAAAAATATATTTTTTAAAAATTTGTACAAAGTTGAATATAAAATATAAAAATAACCCAAACTTTACAAAGTTTAATTTTGTCTTTCTGATTTAGTAAAAAAATTGGTAGAATTTCCCTTATAAAAGTAAGTTTTTCTAATTTATACTAAGTCACACTAGGCTACCAGAGTGGCCCGGGGTCACTTGCCCGGCCGGGCAAAAAAAATACAAATAAAAAATATATTTTTAATTTTTAATTTTAATTTTAATTTTGGTGAAGAATTTCGATGTGACCCTGAGGCAAAAGTTGTTCTGTTTAGTTTTCTGCATAACATAGTTTTTTTTCGATTTATTTTTTATTTTTTATTTTTTTTGGGACCTCCTTGCACGGGCTGGCCACCCGGGACCCGGGCGGCGCGACTGGTAGCCTAGAAGTCACATATAAAACTCAGACGAGAGTTGAATTTTGTAAAAACAAAATTTAACTAACTCTTGGATTTGCATAAATTTGGGCAGCACTTCCTTCAACAAAAATATTTTCTCATAACTTAATCAAATG